GATTGCCCAGGCTTGCATGTTTATCCCTACTGGGAAAGGAGGGGTGCATGACATGACCCTTCTGTGGTCCACACTTGAATACCTTCTCATGCCTAGAGCCAGCATAAGCCTCTGAAGCTTGGGCAATCCATTGTTTGGGGGGAAGGGTGCATGACAGGACTCTTCTGGGTTTCAAATGGCCTTCTAAAAAAAGAAGAATTCTATGTCCAGTCCGACCATCATCTGTATTGTAACTCTGAAATGCTCTGTTCTTGCAGGCTTCCCGATGGGTGATGTCCCTCTGGATGGGATGTCCGTGAAGGATCTGGGTGTCATAGTCCTCACCATCTTGCAGTCTCCCTCGAAATACGCCGGCAAGGACATCGGCCTCAGCATGGATAAGCTGACGACAGAGCAGTACGCTGCCATAATGACCAGAGTGCTCGGCAAGAACATCAGAGACGCCAAGGTAATAAGTGGTGACGAGGGAGGGCTCTACTCAAAGCTTGTACAGGAAACTGACGCAGACAGAAGGACAATGTGAGAATTGAGGAAGAGACCTTTGGCTTGTGTTTATATCCAGATTCTGTTTATTTGTGGATGCATGCAGTACAAAAGGCCAACACGTTTCAGGGGTTCCAAGAGGCCTTCTTCAGGGCTTGGGAATGTAGGAAAGGTTAAGGTCTGGATGACGGCCAAACTAGTGACTGTGAAAAGATATTCAGGATTTGTACAAATTTGCTTTTGTGAACCACATTAGTCTCCATCCAGACCTTAACCTTTCCAACATTGCTAAGCCCTGATGAAGGCCTCTTGGAACCCTCAAAAAGTAGGGCTGCACCGATACCCGTATTTCGGTATTGAGTACGAGTGCCGATATTTTCTTTTCGGTACTCGCTAATACCGAATGTCCCATTAAGGAAGCCAGGCGGCGTGTAATGACTCGCCACCCGGCTTCCCGATTAGCAGGGAAGCGTCCCAATGATTCTTGTCACTATGTGACGAGAAAGCATGGAGCCGGCTTTCTGGCCAATCAGGAAGCCGGAATTTGGAGCATTTGGGCAAGTACGAGTACTCGCCTAAATACTCGGCATTGGCACTGATACCTATACTAGCATCGGTATCAGTGCATCCCTATCGAAAAGTGTTGTCCTCGTATATGCACACCCATTGTGTTGGCTGGAGTTGTGCTTACAATGAAACTATCATGACAGAGCTACAGAACCTGCCCCTGCTCAATTCTGGAAAATTCAATTTGCTTGGTTATCGGCCTTCAATGACTGGAGCCACTCACCTGAAACAAGAACGAGGCAGGTGACATTAGAATGCAGCAGGTGAGTCTAGAACTTCCTGCACACTTGTTCCAGGCCAATGACTGAGACTACTGAAGTAAGGGGATCTGCATGGCGGGCAACTAGCATTTTCAGAAGACCGGCAGCGACAGGCTACATATATCACGGCAGGCCCCTGTTTCATGAAGCTCATGTTAAACCCTTGCTCTTACTTCTGCAGTTGTCTCCTGATGCCTTTGCAAAGCTGGGCTTCCCCGGAGCTGAAGAGCTGGCCAACATGTTTAAATTCTACCTCATGAAACCCGACCGCGATATTCAGGTCACCCTCCAGCTCAATCCCAAAGCCAAGAAGTTCCAGTGCTGGCTGGAGGAGAACAAGGCCGCCTTTGATGACCTGTGACCCTCCTTCCCTTATACAGTGAAAGGACTGAAGTGTTTGTTCAATGTGAACTTGTGTTTCCTGAGCCATGTAGGTCAGATTGCGGCATTTTTTCCCCCCGTGGTAGACCGATCCACCTTTCTACTAACACCAGCCGGGACTGTCATCTGTGTTTTTTGTATTAATAAAATGATTTTCCTGTATCCTAATGGGCTTCCTTCTTTCTGCTCTGAGCAAAATTGTGGATTCCACTGAAATCCTGACAACGGGATTGGTCTATGAGGCGGGGAAAGACGCACGTCATCATACAATGGATTGTAATTCCGTAAGTGTATCTAAAGCCACTTGGTAAAAGTAGGGAATGCTTAGTACCTATATACTTCAGCCGTGGGCACTTGGCCATCAGATAGAATGGAGAACCAGCAGTCCTGCATTGTGAGGATGGCGAGAGCTCTTCCACAACCTGGAGTGTTGGAAGGAAGACGAGTTCCCACTTCTGAGGAATAAGTCAAGTATTGCAGCTTGTACCTCTCCCCCTAGACATGACGAGCCCCCACTGCAAGGGGAGTTTGGAAAATTCCCCGGAGCTTTAAAGGGCAGGAGAGGAAGGCCGTTCTAGAAGAGGCTGAATGAGGTTAGTCAAAGTAAGGTGATGTTTCATTATAGAGCAATGAGCACACAGCGGGGCAGTGGTACCAGGTCTGCTGCATGGCACAAGCTTGATACCCTTATTCCATACAGCATGGGGTGTGTAGGTCTGGAGTTTATGGTTATGGCATTAAATCTAGCTCATTACACTGTACAGCCTTGGTTCTCAACTGGTGGGTCGCAACCCCGTGTTCAGTGGGTCGCCTCATGCCTGCCACTATTCTAGGTGGGAGGATCCTCTGAGTGTCAGCTTGAGGTGGGGTGGGCTGGAGCTATGGCCATGTGGGAGCTCCATCCAGACATAGCTTACAGCTCCATCATAGTACGGTGTGATTTAACGCACTGTATCACGCAATCGCACCTACCATGCATTCTGGTGTGGGAGGTGTGTTGCGTTGCCATTCATTTGAACGGTACCTCAAATGCACCTTTCACCCACACCAAAACGCACTGTACTCTAATGCCATGCGTTCCATTTGGGTCACGACTTAATGACCAAGGACAAATGTGGGTCATGAGGTTACCCAGGTTGAGAACCACTGCTGTACAGGATATACCATCTTCTCCACTGATTAGGCAAGTGATCCAGTGCTGTCCAGAGGCAGCGGGTCTTCCATCTGTGACACATAGCATGGATGGAGGAACCTGTTGTATGGTTTTAATTATAAATATGTCTGTGTGTACCCAACTTTACTGATTAGAAGGTGCAGCAAGTCGGATAGAGCCCGCCTCATTTCCCATCCTTGTTGTCCAGTAATCTGCATTGGTGCTAATTGCTCAATATATATGGATAAAAGGTGTGCATTGTTGTCAAATGGCTGGGGTTAAGATGTTGGACTTCCCCTCCCATCCTGTTCTTGGACAATCACCATCTTCGCATTCCATAGTGACTGGATTGAAGTGGCCATGCTACCTATGTGGATATAAAAGCTGAGGTATGTTCCTGGTATGGTTGGGTTATAAACCCTGGGAGAGGTTCCTAATATGTTGAGGGTAAAGGTCCTGGGGACTGTTCCTGGTATGGTGGGGGTATACTTATTAGGTTCTATTTCTGGTAAGGTCACGGTATAAATCCTGTCAAATGTTCCTGATATGGTGGGGTTATAAAGGCTGGGTTTTGTTTCTGGTATGTTGAGGGTATAAATCCTAGTGTATGTTCCTGGTATGGTGGGGTTAAAAATGCTGGGCTATCCACCTCGAGAGCGGAATCCCCTTGAAAGTGCTAATGGGAAGCTTCTTCCTTCCGCAGAGAGAAGCTGGACCCTGAGTGCTTCGCATTCACCCCCCTTGTCTGCCATCCCAATACCTATTTCACTGGCAGCACCCAAGTGACCCCATTTCCGGCTTACTTATCCTGCCTTCTTGGAACGTTTTGATTAAAAATCCTAGGGTAGGTTCCTGGTATGGTGGGGGTATACATGGTGGGGTATGTTCCTGACACTCATTAGAACTGAGGAAGTGGCTTGGAGAACCTACAAAACATCCCCAACATTATAGAAGAAGCCGAGTTGAATGTGATTTACTACCAGCTCTACCATGACCCGGATAAGTGAGAACCTTCAGACATCTGTTCATGTTTTTTGGTGGCTTTTGCCCCTAGAAACGAGAACACAGCAACATCAAGCACTGTACCCATTAATGATTTTTAGGTCATTAGTATTTAATGCAACATACTAATAAATAATTTCACAGTTAGAGGAATCCGCCGCCACCGGGGCTCACGTGGCGAGTGACAAGGTCACATCAGGTTTAAATTGGTAAAATTTACAACAACAAAATAAAAATTGAAAACCGCTAGAGAGCTCCGTGTGCTGGTGGTCTACGTTATTCCCAGTTTGAAAAAGACAAAAACAAATCTGGCCAGCTGCCATTCCCGTTCTCTAGTCACAATTAGGACGGCCATTTTGTGCATTGTGTTTTTGCTCTTCCTATTCCATGGCAAAGTAGGTTATTCTGCCACCTACAGGAGGCGTGGATGCAAATAAACACAAAAGGGGCTATGACCCCCCTCCCTGTAATGTATGCTTTAGGGTCCGCACAGCAGTCCAAAAAGAAACACAGCAGCGGACCAACCTAAAAACAGGGAAGGGGGCCGTGTCTCTTGAACATCAGAAGAAGGGATATACACAGTGAGTAACTGATGGGCCGGGCAAAGGCACACAACAACAAGGTTTAAGGCCTTGCAGCCCAACAATAAGAAACATCACAGAAGCCATGGTCCAGCAGAACTTGGAAAAACATCCGGCCTTCTGTGGACACCAAGTTAAACTGTAGTATACTTAGCAGGGAGAGATCACAGCCACCCCGGGGCCCTTTTTAGGTTTTGCAACCCATTGTTCAGTTCTCCTGTAGGTGCCAGAATAACCCATTTAGTCACAGAAAAAGAAGAGCTATGCCCCTCAATGAACGACAAAGAAAATAGGATTCACCATAAAAATCCCATTGAGGGACACAGGAAGACATCTACTGTCAGGTTGTACTTGCACCTACGAGAGAAATGGACACAGGCAAAGACAACAAATTGGTAGGCCAGCCAAGGATAACAACTTCTATCCTGAGCATGCCTCAGTTTGTAGCAAGCAGTACCAAGATCATGATAATAAAACACAGAGGGGTGACACCTGTGTCCCTCAATGGAACCCGAAAAAAAGAAGAATCCTACTTTGTTTCTCAACCTTTGAGGGACAGAGGAAGTCATCTAATTTCGGGACGCCCATCAAAGGGGTTGGGCAAACAACTGCTGACAGACTCCGACAAAAACCATAACAGGGGACTGCCTGCAGCTGAAGAGCCTCCTGAAGGACCAACACCGGAATCAGAGACAGGATGAGGCCGATTCCAGGCCTGATATGGGAACCTGACTGCATGACTGGAGGAAGAAGGAGGAGAAAAATCAGACTGAAGAAGAAGGTGGAGAAAAATCCACCAGCTGATGTGGTCAACAAGGTAAGGGAGCAAGCCCCTTAAAAGCAAACTCGTACCAGACAAGGAGCCTCCTGAAGGACCAACACCTGAATCAGGCACGGGATGAGGCTGATCCCCAGCCTGATATGGGAACCTGACTGCATGAAGAAGATGGAGAAAAACCCACCACCTCATGTGGTCAACAAGGTAAGGGAACAAGCCCCTTACAAGCAAACTCGTACCAGAGAAGGCGCCTCCTGAATCAGACACGGGATGAGGCTGATACCCGGCCTGTTGGTGCTCAAGAACCTGAACACAAATGGTCACTATCCAAAGAGTAATGACCCATGGGAGAAAGCACCAAACCATGGACCAAGAAACTTGGCCAATTCAAACCCACAAGGGACGTGGGACAGACAATTTCCCGAAAAGAAAGAAAAACCCCACATGACGTGGTCAACAAGGTAAGGGTGCAACCCCCTTAATGCCAAAAACTGGTACCAGAAGAGGAGCCTAGGAATAACATCCTCATAGGACACGGGCAAAAGAAAAGTAAGCCATGCTAGGAATAGTTATCCTGGGTTGGCATACACATTTGTTTGGCTGCCTGTGCCCAATCCTCCTTCAGGTGGCAGTATAACCCAAGAGTAGATGACTGTATCCCTCAATGGATGAGAAAAAGTATTGTTCTATTAGGCCTGCACAGGCTCTTGATGTAACAACTGTATACTATGCAACAGCATTCCCCAAAGTGCAGGACAGTCCCCATGGTGGCATGTATGATCACTGCAGCTGCTACATGGCTTTCTTGAGAAAAGCTTAGAGGCTGCCATTTCCGAGTTCTCCTTCTGGAAATGCTAAATGCTTGACTTTCATTCTGACACCCCCCTGGCTTCAATAGAGAGGTGGACTGCCACATGCGGAACATTATTTCGGGCTTTAAAAAAAAATCAAAATGTAACTGGAGATATTTACTGAGCCGTAATAGTCCCTAGCAGACGGTTATTTTTGTAGATCTATGTCCCTGTGAGGACTGACATGCGGTATCTTACACAAGCCTATACAGGACAGATAGCAATCTCTATACAAACAAACTGTCAGCAGGCAGTTCATTATTCATTTTTTTTGCTGTGTGATTTCATAAAAACAATCAGAATTATACAGGAAATAGAACTCTATGCAACTGTCAGGCAACAACACTCGGCCGTACGCAACGATCAACCAGCAAACCTGAGAAAAATCAGAATTCGATCTGTATTATAGAAGATGCCACTCTCACGGGTTCGGGGTTAATGGAAAGAGTGCAACATCACAAACAAAAAATCGGGAGAACACGCCACAGGAGGACCCATAGGCCTGGGACGGAGTGTAAGACGACTGTACAGGGCTCATGAGACGGGTTTCTATACAGAATATATTCATCCAAGTTCTAATATATTTGTAGTGTGTACATACAGAGATGTTAAGCTAAGCTACTTCAAGGGTCAGTCCACCCAAGATGGACAGTTTAAGGTCGATGGACGTGGGCTGAATGACATTCCAGATCCTTTTATCTCTCAGCTGGGATCTGGATCTCGATCTAGAACACAATTCGCTCATGTGATGTAGCTATTAGAAGAGGTTCTTTAAAGCCCTAGACATTTTGGACAGGGTAGGAATGGGTTAAAATTCCCTCTCTTACTCTCCATGACCCCACCAATGAGATTTCCATTCACTTCCCTTCCTTCTGAGGCTGATTCATGGCAAAGTGATAGGGTCACTTAAAAGCCCCCGCTTCCACCCAAAGTGTCAGGGTCTTATGAAAGCCCCCGCTTCCACACAAAGTGATAGGGGGGGGCTCCTCTTCCACCCAATCACTTAGGGTCTCTTGAAAGCCCACGCTTCCACCATAAGTGATTGGGTGGAAGAGGGGGCGTGCAAGAGACCCTATCACTTTGGGAGGAAGAGGGGGCTTTCATAAGACCCCATCACTTAGGGTCTCTTAAAAGCCCCCGCTTCCACCCAAAGTGTCAGGGTCTTACGAAAGCCACCTCTTCCTCCCAAAGTGTCAGGGTCTCTTGCAAGCCCCCTCTTCCACCCCAAAGTAATAGGGTCTCTTACAAGCCCCCTCTTCCACCCAAAGGGTCCAGGTTTCTTGCAAGCCCCCTCTTCCACCCAAAGGGTCCAGGTTTCTTGCAAGCCCCCTCTTCCACCCACTGTTTCCTGCATACCTCTGTTGGTGGCTGGTTTTAAGAAAGAGGTACAGCCCTGTGTAAGCTCTGGGTTGAAGCCTACAGAGGGTTAACAACCTACTCTACTCCATGTTCCAATGTTGGTCTTGGGGATTGCCTCCGACAGACAAATAAAGCTCATGGGGAGTAAAATAAAGGTTAGTATTAACGGGTGCTGGTGGTGGGGTTGTCCTGTCAAGAGAACCACTTTCCCCTCAATATATAAATATATATAACCTCTTAGCTGCGAGTTAATAAACGTTAGGTTGCATGGTAACATGCATTACATTATGGCAGCCTATTGGAATGAATGGGCTGCTAACCCACCCTTAGGTGCCCAAAATGAGACATGACTTTTTTGTTTTACTGTAGTGCATTGCAGCGTGCTGAAACGCATGCGGGTTGCTTTAGTGCTTTGGAGTGCCATACAAAATAAATGGCATGGCAACTCATGCTAAGCGTATTACTGCGTGTTGCGATAATGTGCACTTAAGGGGAAATGGGCTTTGAAAGCTTCTTCCAACATTCCATGCTAGTACTTCCAGAGCAGAAACCTCTCCGTTAGGTCCTCTACAAGATTCAAGAAGCAAGGAGGGAGAGATTCAGCCCTCCAGCATCCACCTACAGCTGAGATATCAGTCCGGGGTGGGCGCACCTTTTTATGAACCCTGTGACGTATACAGCAAGAGCATCGATTGTTAGGGCCAGGGTAAAGATTATCGATGCCGACAATACAGAGGTCTTGCGGCTTCCAGTGGACTGATAATCTGAACCAGCACTAGCCCATAAAACAGCCGCCTCCACTGCGTGTACATTACAGGGCCACTTAATGAGATCCAAGACAAGCAGAGTCCCTCCCACCGATGAGATGAAGAAAAAAGGGAACATTCCAAAAATCTAAAGCTTAGGAGAAGGAAGGAGCGAAGCAGCCGCTGTTGACGGGCTTATAGTGCAATCTGCGGACGTGGGGCGCCATCTTAATGCATTGCAAGGACGACTGAGATTCGTTTTTGTTATTATACTCAACAGGAGTTACTTACAGACAGCATTTTATGAGAAAGCCACACCAAAATCAGCCTGGTAGTGCGACTTAAAAGATCAGTCCACCCAAAACCAACATGTCTTTTTGGCATGGATGCTGGCGGACTACCCCAGCTATTAAGCCAAGCAGGAATATTTCACTCATCCTGCGGCATGTGAAGTCACTTGAAAACCAGAATGACGCAACTTCCTAACTGCTATAGAAGGTGGGAGGGTCTGGGAATCCAGGTGCAAAGATGGCAGAAGAAGAAGCAGGAGGATGATGAATCTTGTTCTAGCTAATGGTTGTATGGTATATGTTCAATGGGAAAGCTTAGAGACTTCAAAACCTTTTTTTAGTGTGTGTGAGCGTGTGTGTAGACCGGTTCACATAAATCCTTCCAACCATGACTGGACGCCATCACACTGAAGGCAAAACTCTGGAGCTTTTAAAGGCTACCACAAATCTGGTAAAGTGGAAATGCCGATTAGCAGGAAGTCCTATTTTAAGCAGCTGAAGATCTCCTGGTGGGACAGATTGGTCTACCGTTCTTGGTCAAAGCCAACCTTGCTCGCCACTAAACCCAATTGCCACCAATGTTTGAGATAGCCGAGATGGGCCTGAAGATTGAGCAGATTGGGAATGGAGACTTGAAAAACGGAAATCTCGAAATGGCATGGACAAGCTAACAAGCCTTGCGGCCTTCCCTTCCTATGAGGCCATCGGTGTCGGCACACTTGGAAAAATTAAGCAAGCGATAGTGCTCTTGGCATAACCCAAACCTTGCCTATCTGAAATAGACTTTGACACATTGACCTTCTAGCACTAGGCAATCCTAAAAGCAGCATAAATGTCCTCCTCAATAT